ATAAACAAGCCTTGAGGCGGCAACCTTCTGAAGGAATACACATTAAGACCATTTCAAAATGTACAAGTTGACTAAGAGGAGATGCCAAAGATTGACTACTAGAGATATACTTACTGGAATACTCAAATACTTGACTCACTGGGTTGAGGCAGTGCCTTACCTGGAGCTCCAGCCAATAATGTAAAGTAATTTTAGAAAATACAATATCTCGATTTGGAATAGCCGAAAGCATCGACTCAGACAATAGGAGGCACTAAGGCCACCGTCAGGGGACTTACTTAAGCCTTTGAAAATAAATTGGGACTATCACACCCCCTGGACTCCTCCCTCCTCAGATAGAATAGAAAGGATGAATCAAACCCTGAAGAGGCACTCGGCCAAACTGATTCTTGAAACAAAACTACCCTGTACCAAATGCCTCCCAGTTGCCCTTCTGAGAATTAGAACTGCCCCTTGAAAGAACCGGGGACTGTTACCATACTAAACGCTCTATCAGTTCTGCTGACAGTGACCCATCCTTTAAAACCAAGGATCAATTCCTTAGAAACTATATACTTGGGTTATCCTCTACTATGTCCTCCCTTAGGCATCAGGCGCTACTAGCCCAAACAGCACCCCTCTAGTTTCCTGTACATCAACATCAGCTTGGCGATTATGTCTTAACCAAATCCTGGAAAGAAGTGAAGCACACCTGGGAGGTACCCTAAGTTCTACTCACCACCAAGGCAGCTGGGCACACTGCTGAGAAGGGCAGGAGAGACACTCTACACTCCAGTAAGGAGGGCAACTGTCAGAGCTGGAGAGATGGCTCAGCAGTTAAGAATATTAGTTGGTCTTGCAGAGGACCCAGGCTCAGTTCCCAGCACCCTCATGGTGGCTAATAATTATCTGTAACTCCAGTTTCAGGGGAGCCAACATCTTCTTCTGGCCTCCACAGGCACTGCATGACATGGAAGCACTTACACACATGCAAGCATAACACTCATACACATAAAATATATTTTAAAAAGAGGGCACCTGTAGATGAAGTATCATCCTGTCCAGTCCCCATCCTGTATCACCCCCGCCAAACACCTGTTGGAGAACACAGAAAGTAGATGGCCTGCCTCTAAAACTGGTTCTGAATAGACAAATACTCCTGATGAGTTATCCTGAACTTTCCTCCAGCCTGCTGTCCTACACTCTGTTGTTTTCATTGTTATATTTGTGAGCTTTGTGTTTCTGTTCCTCCCTTGTCACATTAGCTTTGTGATAGTCCAAACCTAAAAACGCAAACTGATCTGGTTTACTTTAACTAGGCTTTGGAAGGATTCTTATTCCTTACCCAAACCACCGATGCTATTTTTACTATTAATGTGACTAAAACTAATTAATCCCTATCAAATCTGATGCCCTCCTTGTTCTCCCAGAGACAGCTAAAAAATTATGGCATATATATGTGCCCCTACCCCATCCTGCCATACATATACTGAACAGGCCAGGTATACATTTCCCTTTGGCAGGATATTTCTATGGCCTTTCAATAGAATCTGGGAGGTCATGCCAGAGCTGGGATGATGTAATTTGGGCTACCTAGCCTGGGGGATGGACAGAATCCTTGGGAAAATGGAGTCTTAAGAGTAAGTTCCAGTTTCTTTGAGGCATCCCATTTCCCAATGATCAGCCACTCAATTCCAATCCTCTTCTCTTAATAACTGATGGCCCTAAGACTATCATCAAAAACGTCAATCCTTATGGCTAGGAGCAAACAACTCAAGTAAAGAGCCCATGGGTATCTTTAATTAGAATTAGTACATGATGACCATGATGCTAAACCCAGGGGATCCACCCAGTCTGCTAAAGACATCAGTCCTGCTTTCATCACCCCTACCTCTTGTCCCTTTTCCAATGTAGTGTTATCCTCCAAAGAATGGCTCTGCTAAGGTAACTATTATAGAATGAAGAATTTGAGACAGACCCTTTCTATTGAGATGGGATATGGAGATGTCAATGCCTGGTTGTAATGGATTAAATATTCTGTTTGCTCATCAAAACAAAAGCAATTATTATACATATACAAAAGGCCAATCACAGACTCAAATAGTTCTCCTCCTGTTGGAATGGTCCTCCAAACAGAACAGCATGATTTCCCTCTTCCAAGCCCAACAGGCCTGGGAAAATAAGTCCTGCCAGACCTTTCACTACTGTTTTACTCAATTAAAGACCTGAGGCACCGAATGCCTCTGTGGGGTATACAGCTGTCATCTCCTGGAAGTAATTATACCTCATCCCTGTCCAGGTGGGGGGAAGCAATTAACTCCAGTGGACAAAGTAGCCGGGTGTGGTGAAGGCTGGTCTTTTGGTGATAATCTAACCAGTCAGTCTTGGTGGTCACACAGCAGATATCTGGTGATATTATGGAAGAAGCCTAATTGAAGTCTTACCAGTTGACTGGAGTAAGACCTATATTTTAGCCCAAGTGCCTAGCCCTTTCACTATGGCATTTAGCCATTCTGATTTGTATCAAGGCCCTTAGAGCAAGAAATGGGCACTCCTTAACTCTTAGAGGCTCATCTGATTCCCATATTTATATAGATGTCATAGGGGTGGGGTGGGATGAGTCTAGAATGACCATCAAATAGCTGCTGGTTTTGAGTTGGCCCTATATTGGTAGCATGGATCATGATAAAAATGTAGATTGGAGTAACTATGTCTATAACAATCAACAAAGGTTTTTTTTTGTATAGATGATTTTTTTATTATAAACAGTAAAATATATGTAACATCTCAACTACAAACCTTTCATATGGAAAGGGTCTAACATGAGTTGTTTGAATATTATGAAGCGAAAAAGTTTTAAGAACCTCACAGTGGAAACAACCCAACACTAACAAACTCTAGTGATCAAAGACATTCTCTTTTAGCTCAGGTAAAACAAGGACAATAATTACAGAGAATGTCCTAGCTGTGGGTATGATGAGACAAGCCAACTTTCAAGACCAAAAGGCACTCACAGCTAGGGACGAAACAAACTCCAAGCCAGCAGAGTTGGGCTGGTTCTTTGACAACAGTGGAGACCTCTAGTTCAGCACAGTGGCCCAAGGTCAAAGGAAACACCAGGCAGGAAAACATTCCCTTTCCACTACCTACCATTTACTTGGCCTGTACTGGCCACCCTCATCACTACTTTGGTCAACGTGTGGAAGGCAGTTCCAGTTCAGAGTGCTATCTCCCTATGAAAAGCCACCATGTGGAAAATCCACACTTGGTATTTTTTTTCCTGAGAGCCACCTACCACACGTTTCCATGAGGTGACCATGACCATGCACTTCCAGACTGCTTCCTGAAGGAGTAGGC